CCTGCTCCGCCCTGCGCGGCCCCCCAGCGTGGCCTGGGTCTGGGTCCGCCCGCCACTCTCTGGCTCGCTTTGTGCGGACAGCCGGGGCTGCCTCCGCCCCGCCGCCCGACCTGTGGCTGACAGCTGGGGGAGAAGGAGAACAGGGACCCCTGCCCCGGGACCTGCAGGGACCCGCCCTCCCCGGAAAGTTTCTCCTCTCCTGGGTGTGTGGGGTTGGCCCCGACAGCTTCCTTCGGGAAGGACAATGCGATAGCCCATCTGAGAGATTCTAGTGGCTTGGGGTTTACCTGGAATATAAGGACGTTTTTTCTTTCATGACAAAAATTGGTAGCAGGAGGCTCTTCGCGACAGCTCCAGTGCAAATGGCATGCCATCAATATTTAATAGCCGGCTCTTTGTATAATTTACAGAAGCTAGAAATGAGGCCTGGTGTAGTCGTGATAAATGTAATTATTTGATTCAGCTTTTACGGGTACAGTGGGCTCGTGTTGCAGCTGTCTTTTTCACTGTCAGTTATAATTCTGAAATTTGTAAAGTGCAGTAAACGTTTACCTTTCTCGTTCAGTCCCTTCGGCCTGATGGGTGTAATAATGAGAAATGGTCTGTCTCAAATCTCCTGATCTATATTCCCTCTGCTCTCTGGAAGTTATGTATTTTGTTTCTTTACTGACTCTGGGGGTGGACGTGGAGAACAATTCACAGGTTCACATTTTTGCAGGCTTAGCTCCAAAGTAACTTAGAGATTTCTTTCATATTCTTTAGATGTGAAAATTTGAAGTTTGGCTTATAGGATGCTCGTTGAATTTTAAAACTTTGGTTTTGGTGTCTCAAGACTTTTTAATGTTCATTTAAAAACAGGAAGGAAAACAAAGAAGTCAAATGATACTTGTCAGGTCCGCTTTTAATGGGAATGTTTAGATAGAAACACATTATTTTTCATGAACTCTTGACAGTCTACAGTATATGATTCTTGGCGTTATTTAAAGTTACTGGAGCTAGTTGAAAAATTAGTGTTTCCTTTTTTTTTTTTTTTTTTAATATATATCACTTTATTTATTTATTTATTTTTATTTTGGGCCGTGTTGGGTCTTCGGTGCTGCGCTCCGGCTTTCTCTAGTTCTGGCAAGCGTGGGCTTCTCATTGCGGTGGCTTCTCTTGTTGCGGAGCATGGGCTCTAGGCGTGCAGGCCTCAGTAGTTGTGGCATGTGGGCTCAGTAGTTGTGGCACACGGGCTTAGTTGCTCCACGGCATGTGGGATCTTCCCGGACCAGGACTCGAACCCGGGTCCCCTGCATTGGCAGGCGGATCCTTTACCATTGTGCCACCAGGGAAGTCCCTACCTTTGTTTTTAATGTCATTGAAAGTACCTACTGCAGATTCACCTGGGTTCCTTCATGACCCTATCACATACTAGTCCTATGATCTCAAGTTCTTTGACTTATATGACCCTCAATTTCTCCTTCCCTAAAATGGATGTTACAGAAATAATAATGCCTACTTCCTAGTGTTATGGGGAGAACTGAATGAGATAATATTTGTGAAGTGATAACAGCACAGTGACTTTTTGTGATGAGTCTCTTAACTGGATTAGAAAATATTTTATCAGAACTCTTTTTAAAAATTGAGTTAGTGCTTACGTAACTGATATTTATAGGGCAGATATAGGTTAGGATCCAAGAGCAAAAAAAAATTCAGAAAATGTTTTCAGATTACTAGTTTAAACAAATTACTATTAAGTGCTAAACTAAAATGGACCTAACACAAAGTGACCTCATTGAAGTGGGTTATATTTCAAATACTCTAAGTTAAATAAGACTTCTTTTCAAATACCGCCATTGTAGGGCTTCCCTGGTGGCGCAGTGGTTGAGAGTCCGCCTGCCGATGCAGGGGACACGGGTTCGTTCCCCAGTCCGGGAGGGTCCCACATGCCACGGAGTGGCTGGGCCCGTGAGCCATGGCCGCTGAGCCTGCGTGTCTGGAGCCTGTGCTCCGCCACGGGAGAAGCCACAACAGTGAGAGGCCCGCGTACCGCAAAAAAACCCAAAAACAAACAAAAAATCAAATACTGCCATTGTAAAGATAAGATTCCTGAATTTTGTTTTCATTTTATAAGTTCCTCCCAATTATTCCTGTGCATTAGATGTTAGTACATGGTTCTGTTTTTAGTGAAACAAAAGTGACAGTTTTGTTCATTTCTTAACGTTCCTAATTTGCACTGAGGTTGCACCATGCTTTTTTTTTTTTTTTTTTTTTTTTTTTCCCTGTAATTTATCTCTAATCTCATTGCATTGTGATCAGAAAAGATACTTGATGATTTCAATTTTCTTAAATTTACTGAGGCTTGATTTGTGACCTAAGATGTCATCTGTTCTGGAGAAAGTTCTGTGTGCACTTGAGAAGAAAGTGTAAGCTTTTTTTTTTTTTTTTTAATTTATTTTATTTTTTGGCCGCACCATGAGGCACACAGGATCTTAATTCCCCAACCGGGGATCAGACCTGTGCCCCTTGCAGTGGAAGTGCAGAGTCTTAACCACTGGACCACCAGGGAAGTCCCTTATATGAGCTTAATAGTTCATAAAGCTCCATCTAGTATCAAGTTATACAAGCTTGAAATTAAAAAAAAAATTTGAGTACTGTTACTATTGGGATTTTCATCAAAGTCCTTTTCAGCTGTGGAAAAAGCTGATAACAGATTTTTATACTGATTACATAAATAGGGTTAATTTTCTAGAATACCTCTAAAGATTTCTTAAAGACATTTTACCATCACATATTACGGCCGCATTCAGTTTATGCTGGTAGAGGGGAGAAATAGAGAATTAGGGATTGTGGTGTTCTTTGTTATGAGTTTGAAGGTGCTAGGCAGGAGGATACTTGGCCCTAATATGTGTTTCATGAATTACGGTGATCTCTGGAGTCTCATATTTAAAAAACCAAATCTGAGACTATAACAAGGTTTTACATTTCCAGCAACTGTATAGAATTGGAACATTGATCAAGGCTTAAGTACCCCAAACACAAATTGCAGTTTAACTTTACCTTGCTACACGGCCTCCCCTCCCACTGCCTGTGGGTGAAGGGGGTCAGAACTAGCAATGTGTGCATGTGTGTTAGTCATCCTCAAAGCATTTTCGTACGAATCTTAGTTTGCCTCCTCTGTCCCCCTTTCCCCATCCCCCCCAAAACCTGGGAGATAGATGTTAACACCAATTATAGATGAGGTACTGAATCTTGGAGACCTACCTGTTCAGTGAGTTTTCTGAGGTCACACAGCTGTAAAGACCCTGCCTTCTGTGACTCTGGCCTGGTTTTCCAACTTGATAGAAGTCCCTTCAAGGGAGGAAGTGCCATGTACTCTTCCTACTGCATAACTTTTTTTAAAAGGCCATCTTTGAGTAAAAATACTTATGGTTATTTTAAAGTAAAATCCAAATATTTGTTGGATTCTAGGATGTAGCTTAATGAGGGACACGTCTGTTGCCATGGCATTTGTGTTGAAGCAGTCATTTACTCTACCCGGGCCTGACCCCTAGTGAAACCCAGAAACACTATGGCATTAGCATTTAACCATTGTTTCATGGAAGATTTTGCGAATGAACTTGTTTGTTCGTAATATTAAAAGGAAAAACTTTTTTTTTTTAATATTTATTTATTCATTTGGCTGCG